TGTGGTAATTGGGATATTCAAAGACTCAAACGTGGGATTATTTACGTTAAAATCATTATTATTAACAAAGTTTTCGATTTCTTCAATCTGTGTCGCATGTAATTCGTTAAACATATTTGAAAAGTACTCATGAAATTCTGCTGGCGTAATATTGCTTGTATTATCCTTTTTATTTTGTTTAAAATGTTTCCAGAAGTCCCGGGGTTTCTTATGTCGTAAATCACTTAATTCTTGAGACTTACTTAAATGCCCTTTTCTTTTCTCTTATCAATGATTTATACTTGCATTTAGCATTACATAGTAAATCCCTGTTCGATTGCGTTTTATTAAGATTAAAGGAACTGAGAGCCTGTTGATACTCTTGTCGCGAAACTCTGCATTCATTATCATACCATTCTTTGTTACTATTGCTATAAGCATTACAATTCGGATAATGTTTAAAATATGGATCAGCAGTATTTTGAATAAGCGCAGAAAAAGAATCAACCATTTGATCAATATTATCATTTGTAATATTATCAGTGTTTATTTTAGACAAAATTTCATTAAATTGCGGTAGCTTAGCGATAACATCATTTCTAAATGCAGATTTATGCGCAGCATTCCACTTATAGTGTACCGTTGTTTCAAAATTGATATCACAGTTTTGCTCGGTTTGATTACTGTTTACTTTAAGTGAGAACGTTATCGGCGCGTGATCACTATACAGATTAAAAGGTAAGACACTGAACGAATCAATCAGCTTCTCCAAATCCCTCCAGAGGCGTGCACGTCGCGGAGAAGGCACACGGCAGGTCAAGGTCAAATCATCTTAAGTACCAGAGGTGATTGGTTGACCTGTCGTGACTAACTCTGGAGGGTGGCGCTAACAAGAGCCGTTTTATGTCAACCGCCTGTTTGCAGCCGTCACGGAACTTGATGCTTTTCCGGTATTGTCTTTCCTCCACCGAACGAAGAACAGGACTTAGGAAGATCGGCATGAAAAAGACGTCCCCGATGAGACTACTAGAGTGGACCGGCATGGACGCTGAGATCTCGGACATATGGAATTTCCGGCGCCGAGCTAAAATAAACTTAAAAACACACAAAAGAATCAATCAGTGGATAATCTCGTGTAGATAGAACGAGATAGTCAATAGTAGTGCACGTATTTCTATTTTAGTATGTAAAATCGCCAATATTATAGGTCAGGGTATCGCATTGTAACATGGCCAGCGATTGGCTGAAAAAAAGTGCAGGGAAAACCGTATGAGTCAATTTATACATGAGGTGATTGGATGGAAGTGGGGTATTTTTAAGTAAAAAAACTAATTAAAAAAGTAACACTACACTGTTTTCTGAAGAAAATGAAATATTTTATGAGTCTCTGTGATAATTTTGACTTGGATATTTGTATTCATAAAAAGTGTATGTCAGTCCTGTGATCAGCAGAAAATTTCAATGAAATGGGGGGTAATCCTCTCTGAAGTCATTTTGCAAAAAATTTGGTTGGCTACCCCTATATAACAAGAACATTTTCATGTGTCAGGCATTTCATTCTGCTAGAAAAATTAGCTCTTTAGCATGAAAACTCAATTTTAAGGTAGGATTAGGGACCATTTCTTATAATGTAAGTCTATGGAAATATCAATGTGAGTGTCTGACCTTATAATCGTTACCGTTCTACCGTTAGCAATACGTAATGAGGTTGCTTTGCAAAATTCGAGCATTTGCATGTGTACCGCGCGAGTAACATATTTTATCGGAAGAGGCCCGTCCCAACGAAACATCTGGGGTATAATTATCATAATCTAGGCCATCAACGCATGAACGAAAGGAAATGTAATCGTGTTTATTTCCTACCCTACAGTTCCAATCACCTATTAACATGACCTTACCAAAATCTTCGAAGTAAGCAACATCATTTAACAAAATATCAAACAAATTGTCCTGATAAACTTGAGTAATAGCTAGGTGACTCTTCCGGCCATAAGTATAAAGCACATAAATAAACATCATCATTTAAACCAAAATAACTTTTATCCAACTTTAACCATAAAATAGAGTCAAAATTATTTTTAACAATTTTTACTCCATCTTTAATCAAGTCACTTATATAGATTACAATTTAATGCCACCGCTATCTCTTTTGGCTCTCTTGTTTCGAAATTTTCTATAATAGTTAACGCAAGAATACCCATCAATATTTATATTAGAGTCACTACAAGTCCAAGTTTCAGATAAACAAATAATGTCATGGTTATTAATCAAGTTCAAAAAGTCCTGGTCGGTGATTTTCTCTTCTGTTAATCCATTGAAATTCCAGGCAATAATTTTCAGCACATTCTCCGGGAAATCCTATTTATGTTGTACCGGCTTCCCGTCGATATATAAGGTGTCGTAAAACAACCACGCTCGCTTGCCCTCGTCTCTAGCGGCACGAAGCTGTGGTACCAATTTGCGTCGTTTTTCGGCTACCTCTGTTGGATACTGCTCTTTCACGAAAAAGGAAGTACCTTTCAGGCAATGACCTTGTTATATGATTTAAAAAAAATATTTATTCAAATAACATTGGTGTTCATCAATTTCATATATTAGTACATACGTTGTGCCCAATTTTCCAAAATTATCTGTGTTGTGCCATGAAATTTCCATTTCGCCAGGCATATAACTCTTCAGTGCAATTAAACATATACAATTTATGAAACATTTTAAAACATACTTACTTAATAGTGCTAAACAATCATTAAAGATGCTTAAATATAGCATATTGACTTTAAAAAAGGCGTAGTGCCGTTGTTTTTCTAAAAAATATCTCCGTTTATAATAAAAATACTTAAAGTTGATTCTGTAATTTCAACATATGACTTTATTTAGCGTATACTAATGCAAAGTCAATAAAAAGTACTTTGTTTGCTAGTTTTGAAAAAAAAAAATCTCCGTTGCGCCGATGAATTTTTGCAAATGAGTAACAAGCAAATACCTTTAAAACACACAATTTTTGTTTGTCAATTTACATACTAAAATGTATACTTGTGATGGATGTAATTCTTGGCAACACATTGATTGTAATTCAGGTGAGTGATAATAGGAGGTGTAAAGACCAAAGGTGAAACGTCCAGGAGTTGTAAAGACCAAAGGTGAAACGTCCAGGAGATGTAAAGTCCTGAAATCCGTTGCGCCAAAAAATCTCCGTTGCGTATTTTAGTGGTACCGCCACTTCCGGGCGGTATGCCTAAAATACGAAAGTGAGATTTTTGAGGAAAGTGAGCGAAAGTGACTTTTAAAATAGTAATTATAACATTTTAATAGACTTTTAAAACAAACTTGCAGTTTGTAGACGTATATTATTAGAAAATAATTATATTTATTAACAGAAATAATCATAATGATGATTTAATCGCTACTTATTTGCATAATTTCTATACACAAGTTCTTATATCTTCCTTTCGCTCACATTGAAAAATACGAAAGTGACTTATAAAATATTAAATATTCTTTTTTAATTGAAATTTTTACTAAAATTACAATTTGTAGATGTATATTATCAGAACTTGATGATACCTATTCTTTAAAATAATCATTATGATGATTTAATCGCTATTTATTTGCATTATTTTTATACACAAGTTCAGCTCAGATTGAAAAAAATACGAAAGTGACTTCAAAATATAAAATATAGCGATTAATTACACTAAAGTATTATTATAATCCAATCATAGGTATGTAACTGATGACACTTGCCCGGTTGTTTATTGAGTGGACAATTGAATTAACCTTTCTTCTGCACCACCATAGATATCTTGCACGGATTAAAGTGGCAGTTATTATGCTCATCCAGGTGTAGATGAGCAATGTACATGTTAATTTGAAAAATAATTTGGAATTTCCCATCATTGTTAAAATAATATTTCAGTATGAAAAAAGGAAATTTATAAGTAATCCACGGAATTTTCTATAGATATCGTACTATATATATCGGTAGAGTTCAATCTTTTTATAAGTTAGGATTTTTTTTTTTATATTTTGTGCTAGTCATTTTCATCATCAGTTATAGGTCAATCACCATGAAAACATGAATAAGCATGAAAATGACTCATTTATTTTTTTATTATAAAAAACAATAATATCGTGAATATTGACATTGACTTTCGTCTGATTAAGTCACCTTCGTATTGTTCAATGTGGGAAAAAGTAAGATATCAGAACTGGTATACAGCAATTATGAAAATACATGGATATTAAATCATCATAATGATTTTTTTAATATATTTTATTCATTTCTGAAAACATGCGTCTTTCAGCGCTATATTTGACATTTTTGAAGTCAATTCCGTATTTTTCAATGTGAGGGAAAGGATCGAAGATCTTTTAACTTGTGTAATGCAAATTAAGGCGGTTTAATCATCATTATGATTATTTTTAAAAATAAATATAATTGACTTCTGATATTGTATGTCTACAAATTAATTGCAATTTTAGTAATACATTCAATTTAAACAGTATATTTGATATTTTGTAAGCCACTTTCGTATTTTTCAATGCGAGGGAAAGGAAGATCTCTAGCTGTATATAACTTGTGTATATAGATTATGCAAAATAAATGGCGATTTAATCATCATAATGATTATCTTTGAAAGTAAATATTATCATTTTCTGATATTATACGTCCACTTTGTGCAATAAAAGTAAAAATAATTTCAATTTAAACGGTATATTTTATATTGTATAAGTCACTTTCGTATTTTTCAATGTAAGCGAAAGGAAGATATAAGAATTTGTGTATATAAATTATGCAAATAAAAACCGAATAAATATAGTTCTTTTGTTATTACTTTCTTGTCCACATTTCTTTGAATGATTATTTTTTTTATAATAAATATAAGTAATTTCTAATAATATACGTCTAAAAACTGCAATTTTATTGTAAAAGTATATTAAAACGTTACAATTAATATTTTAAAAGTCACTTTCGCTCACTTTCGCTCTTTTTCGTCAAAAATCTCACTTTCGTATTTTAGGCAAACCCACTTCCGGGTCGTCCGTGGGCGCTAAATTTTCCATATTAAAGATGCCAAAAAAGCGGGTCCAAAGAAAAGCTTCTTGCAGTGACCAAAAAGAAAATGAAATATCAGTGTCAAGGTTACTTTTAAAAACTGAGTTTTATATCAATCATTTTAAATTCAGTTTTGAGTAGATCTAGATCTAGATGAACACGATAAATTATTTTGGGGACAGGACCACAGACACTTGGGGTTTGGAGCTCAAAACGCCTTTAAAATCCAAATAAAATGCATATTTGTCAATCCCAGCACATGTACTGATCATATATATAAAAAAATCTTAATATATGCCGTTTTGAAAAAAAATCATATTTCAACAACTATAATAATACACAAGATAAAAATGTTCGCCGGAAAAAATCCGCACCCCTACCGTCATAATCACCATGTATTTTATTCCATTTCCAATATTTTCACATAATCCTTTGGTCCATCGACACAGAAGATATAATTCTTCACGATGATGGTCAATTTTAAACTTCAACGGTAATACAAACAACGCAACAGCCGAAATAAACATCAATATTATCGCCGTTTTTTTCAACGACAAAATCTTTCGATAAATTCAATGGACCAGACGGCTATGAACGAAGCTATCCGATTATGTGGCCCCAGCTTTGCCGTGTGCAAAATGCGCAGCGCTTTTTAAGTTTGGGAACCACATAATCGGATAGCTTCGTTCATAGCCGTCTGGTCCATTGAATTTATCGAAAGATTTTGTCGTTGAAAAAAACGGCGATAATATTGATGTTTATTTCGGCTGTTGCGTTGTTTGTATTACCGTTGAAGTTTAAAATTGACCATCATCGTGAAGAATTATATCTTCTGTGTCGATGGACCAAAGAATTATGTGAAAATATTGGAAATGGAATAAAATACATGGTGATTATGACGGTAGGGTGCGGATTTTTTCCGGCGAACATTTTTATCTTGTGTATTATTATAGTTGTTGAAATATGATTTTTTTCAAAACGGCATATATTAAGATTTTTTTATATATATGATCAGTACATGTGCTGGGATTGACAAATATGCATTTTATTTGGATTTTAAAGGCGTTTTGAGCTCCAAACCCCAAGTATCTGTAGACAGGACGTTTCGGCCCCAAACCAAATCGGCCCCTGTGCATAAAACTGGCCTCTAGACGTTTCGGCCCTTTTCGCGAGACGTTTCGGCCCTTTTTTATTTCAGTTTAATTAAAGTATTCAAGGAATTAGTATAGTTAAAATCGTTAAAAATTTTAGTATATTGATTGATTGATGGCACACAACTATTAAGACACTTTAAATAATCCTTAATTAATAATCCATTATAGATCTTTCGATCTCTTAATTTTACTATTTAGATAAATGCTCTTTTTTCAAGATGTAACAATAAATAAAGACACTTAAAATAGAGAAAATAAGAATCTCTTAAGAAAGCCCACCACGTCATAGTCCAATATATTAGACGTTCAGTGATTAATCTAGAAATTCCTTACAATGCTTCGGATGACGCACATGTTTGAAAACAATGAGTCCTGTAGCAAAATCAATGAGTCATGTAGCAAAATAAATGCGTCTTAGCAGAAATTTTTTTTTTAATAGCAGATCCTTGACATGATTTGCATGTTTTTTATAACAAGGGATTAAGTAATTAAATTAGTGTATAAAAAAGTTATTTTTGGTACATGTACTAATATTAATTGCACGCAAAACATTTTTTACTGACTGCTCAAAAATCTAATTTGCATAATTTGTTTTCTTACTACTTATGTCTAATACTGTGCATTATCCATTTTAATTGTTCGTAATTTGCACAAAATGTCCCTGTCACACTGTATACTGACGACTTTTATTGCTCCTTGTATGCCTCTGTGTAGAATGCACAGGGCTCATCCGGAAGGGCGATTCAGGCGAAAACTTCGCCGTGTATATTCCAATTTCGCTCTTCCGATTGATCAAAGAGAAGTCAACATCGCCGATAAAATCTTAATTCCCAAATAGTAATTACTTAGCGATGTAAAGAGCAGAGATTGTATCCGCCCATATGTGACGCGCTCAGCGATTTTTGGCCCAATTGAGTTTTTAATCATTGTGAGAAAAACGCTTGTAAAGTCACGCGAGTTTTCATGTCTTAATTTTTAGGGTTTCCCTTCAAAACAGAGTATCTTTGAGAGTTGAAAGAATAAAATAAACTAGAAAGAACTCAAAAAATACTTTTTGAACAGCCCTTCTCAGCTTCCACGATAAACATTTCCCAAAAATCTATATTTAGAATAAATACACTGTGTAAACTTAGGAGTCAAGTCGGCGAGTAAACGCATGTAGATTCACTACTGTACCTTTTACGTCATGTTACTGCATATTTGGAGGTTTAAATAAATATAAAGGTAAGTGCATCTTTTATTATTTATGCTTTTTCTGTTCATGATTTTTTTTCTGATATGTTGAATATGAATATCCATCGTATTTTTACTTTAAACAATAAGATAAATGGGACCATGACACTTGAACTGGTTTATATAAAAAAAACATGGCCGGCATCTAGGTCAGGTCATGACACATTGTTTACAGTATTGCACTCGATTTCGTATTTGTCATGGTCTTTATAGAAAGTTATTGTTAACTTTTTTCTAAATTAGACATTGATTACATTACAAAATAAATTGAAGTCAAGGCTGCAATAAAAGAAAAAAGAAAACAAAAGTTGGCACTTCATTTTTGTTTACACATCACTATGACAAAAAATGTAACTGGACACATAACATATTTTGCAATTTGTTTACAATGAATGAGCTTGACATAGATCTACATCAAGTAGATTTATACTGTATAAAATATTTCTAAAAAAGGAAATATATGACAAGGCTTCAGTACAGTATTGTAATTATTGACAAATGAATTTCTATTACAATTCAAGATCAATTTAGTAAAGGAAATGTTATCCCTGTACTGCATGCTGCTTTTGAAATACAATAAATATATCTGGTACTGTGATTGAAGAGGTGACCATAGATAAATATTAAAATGCATTTATTTTTATTAGCCCTTTGTCTTTGGTAGTATCTACAATAAATCATATTATATTCACATTACTAATACCACATAGCATATATTCTACCAGCAGGGTTTCCATTAAATTCCAAACATTGGCAGTCAAAGACTGCAAACTGTATGTAATTGGAAGTCACTTTGTAGGTAAAGAATGAAAAGCATTACATTTTGGAAGCCAAAATCAAGGTGTAAATGATTCCCAAACTTTAATAACAGAAGCCCTGCTACCAGGATATTTTTAACATTTATGAGCCAGCACTTTTTGCTGATGAAATATTTTGTGTTGTTGTTTTAGGTCTGACAGCCAATTGAACATACATTTAAGATCTTCAACATAGTTCATCAAAGTTTTGAAGTAGATAATATGATTATCCAGCATGTTGGAGCCATAGTCTTCAAGGAAATGTACTTGTAAGTGTTTTGATACTTGGTTTAAAGATCAAATGATTTACTATGAATGTAATCTTTGTATACATATGTAAACAAACATAAACTGACCATTCTCAACCCTTTTTATCAAATAATGATATTGATAAATTTCCTGAAATGCAGTTGAAAGTAATGTAACTTATTTGCAATTTAGCATTTTATATATGAAGTCAGGTGAGATCTTAAATATATTGTTTTAAAATTACATAACTCTGTACAGTAACATAAACTAAATTTTAAGTTTATATTTAAAAATAATGCTGTATTGTTTTATGCAAATACTCTGTCAATAATGCTAAGCTCTTAAAGTATATATATATAATTTTCAGAAGACATAGATAGTTCACCTATTTGCTGATGAATACACTAATCTATTGTTGGAATGGAGGCACAATGTGTGACATAGCTCTATGCCCTATTGAGCACCAGGGTTATGGAGTAAAAAAGACAATCACTTGTATCAACGGTACTGTATTGGTCAAGATAAAAAACACTTCAATTGGGTAAGCATGTATATTTATGCAATATTCCACATTCTCTTTACTTTTGAAATAAAGAGTGTGGTGTTCCAACCACAATACATGCACATATGTAGATTTAGATTATTTCAGTCATGTTCAAGATGAATGTTACTGCCACTTGTACATGATAATATAGACTGTTATATATTACACAAGACCTTACATGATGAACAAGACATTATATGAACCCAATAGCTGTGCAACACTATACAACAATTTACTTATAGTTCATTTCTGTTCAGTCAAATATCATATACACTATATTGTAGTTAAATCATCATATACACTTTATTGTTTCATTTATACTTATTCAGGCTTTTGTTATTTCAGGATGGCATGTGAGAAGTCAATGACTTGTCTATGTTTGACAGTATACCAAAAGTGAATTACATTCTCATAGAATTTGTCTTTAGAAGTATCCCTGAAAAAGCTGAATACTACAGTGGCAGGTGTTACAGTATTTTTACTTAATTGTGAAACAAGTTTTATATATGAATCACTTTATGCTTACAAAAACTGAAGACATATGAGGAGACATAGTTGCTATTACCCTGTTTGGGTCAAACCCACAACATGGGGTTGCAAGACTATAATTCAAGGACATAAGTGAACTCTCATATGTGACTTCCCATGTGATTGCTAGAATCTGTTATTGTAATTGTTTTAAATTAATTGAAATTATTTCAATTTAAAAATATACTAATATGTTATTCATATCATACAATTTAAAACACACTGATCAGAATATGATTACACTGTCAATATCTGTAACTGAAAATTTAGTCAGGAACATAACTAGTGCAAGCCCTTTCTATTTATTTTTTTGGTTAAAATTCTGAGACTTTTGAAGTTATTGTGAAAAGGAATATTTTTTTATAAAATGCAATTATTTTAAATCATTCAGTTATTTTTGCATTTTTTGGTACCATGGCAACCAAAATACACCGTTTTTGCAATCAGTGCATTGAAGAATATTTGTTTTGCATTGGATTCATATTGTATATGCTATCATGTTATAGATGTGCATTTTAAAGTTGACTAACTTAAGTTATGATATTAACCTTAATCATGGAAAAGTTACTGTAATTCTGAGAATTTAATTCTTATGTTTGAAGTTAATATCAATAACTATTAAAGGGTAAAATGAAAAATCTTTTTTATTTTCTGAAAAGTCTTTAATAATGTTGTCTTTTAATATAATATATGCATTAATTTGGTGATGAATTAATCATATTAAGTGCAAAAATATTGCATTTGATGATTTTTTTATATTTTTGTTGCCATGGCAACCGATTTTTTTGAAAACAAACGATTGTTTTTATATCAAGATATTACATATATTACACTAAGATGAATGATCACTTAATTTTTTATTTTATTTTATTGTGTATAACAATGGAATTATTTATAATTTGCATATACCAATAAAAGTAAAAAATGTAATTTTTGTTGTTATGGTGATGTTATACAAATTCGAATATTTCATAAAATATCAAGTATTTTTTAAAAATAATTGTTTCCAGCTATTCAGCAGATGTTGTTCTACCACAAACTAGTCATAACTCATTTTCGCCCAAATATCACATTTGGGCCAAAAATCGCTGAGCTTGTCACATATGATGACCGCTAATTATCATTATCCAATCAGAGCGTCGCTTTATACTACCCTTCTACCTGTAAGCGAAGCGATAGACCGCCTACTCTAAACAGTAAATAATGAGAGCATCGGCCCGAAACGGTATAATTGTGTAATAGTTTTGCGAGTTTAATAAGGGATTTGGCGATAATTATACATTGTTTTTTCCCCGATTATCTAAACACATGCAATCTTCCCCAATTGATATGCACGATGCACTTCGATGGTGGGTTTTTAACTCGAGTAAAGGCGATGTGCAATGGATTTTTCATGGCTATCACAAAACTGTTAGTCAATTAAAAATAATCAATTTCATTAATGATCAGCGACCGGATTAAAAACTTAATCATAGTTTTGAATGATTTCAGTCTGTTAACATAAAATTTTTACTGTAAAATTGTTATGTTGCTCACGTCATGGCTACCGGGCGAAATGCCTAAACCTAGCAGTAAAAGAAAGTTACTGATTCTGATACACCTACGCGAAACGGTATAATTGTGTAATAGTTTTGCGAGTTTAATAAGGGATTTGGCGATAATTATACATTGTTTTTTCCCCGATTATCTAAACACATGCAATCTTCCCCAATTGATATGCACGATGCACTTCGATGGTGGGTTTTTAACTCGAGTAAAGGCGATGTGCAATGGATTTTTCATGGCTATCACAAAACTGTTAGTCAATTAAAAATAATCAATTTCATTAATGATCAGCGACCGGATTAAAAACTTAATCATAGTTTTGAATGATTTCAGTCTGTTAACATAAAATTTTTACTGTAAAATTGTTATGTTGCTCACGTCATGGCTACCGGGCGAAATGCCTAAACCTAGCAGTAAAAGAAAGTTACTGATTCTGATACACCTACGCGAAAATTTAAGAAAACCATTTCGCAAAAATCTTGCGATTGGTATGTTGTAGCCAGGGTGGTGTTTGGCATTGTTCTCTTTGTAGAAATGCCAAATTGACACAGTTTAGGCACGTGGGCAAGACATCCCGGCTAAACTACATATCGGTCGTACATCCGTATATCATGTAACGTATATAACAACAAAATTTGTCAAGAAGAAGAGTTCTTATTGTTTCAATATACATATTTGTTTTAATGTCGTAAATATGACGCTCAGATTAAGATTTATCAATATTGTAAATTTTAAAAAGCATTATTTATAAAGATATTACCGAATTTAACATTTCATGAAAATAAAGGGAGGTAATTAGAAATTAATTTTCTACAATTTCTCAGTCAAAGTTTTCAATAAGAAATGAATGTATGTAATTTTAGTGATCAAATATAATGTGCACAAATGTTTGTAGTACATATTTTAAATATTCTTTGATGTTTGAAAATTGTTTTATAAGCATAATTATATGCATATAAATCTGACATTACAACATTCAGGACTTTCAAAAAAATTTCTGTTACCAGAACAGAAAAGAACAGAGTTTATTAATCAATATCCAAGTGACTTCAGCTTCTAATAAAAGTGAGGAAAGAAAAAATATGAAATTGATTTTATCATCACATCTTTTCTTACACATTATTATCAACAAATGTAAATGAAAATATATAAACACATATTTAGAGAAAGCTTATAAATAGCTGATCAATAGAATTATCAAAAATAATTTTTATGCCCCCGCCATGTAATGGCCGGGGCATATAGTGTTACCCTGTTCCGTCCTTCCGTCCTTCCGTCATTCCGTCCTTCCGTCATTCCGTCATTCCGTCCTTCCGTCATTCTGTCATTCCGTCATCATCAGTTTCCGTTCATCATCTTAGTAACGGTTGCACATATTCAACTCAAATTTGACATATGGATATGTCATGAGAAAATACAGGTCAAGTTCGAATTTGGTCATGGTTCGATGATTTTTGGCAGAGTTATGCCCCTTTTACTTTGAAAATAATATGAAATTTTCAGTTTCCGTTCATTATCTCCCCAACCGTACAACACATTCAACTCAAATTTGACACATGGATATGTCATGAAACAATACAGGTCAAGTTCGAATTTGGTCATGGTTCGATGATTTTTGGTAGAGTTATGCCCCTTTTACTTTGAAAATAATATGAAATTTTCAGTTTCCGTTCATTATCTCCCCAACGGTACAAAATATTCAACTCAAATTTGACATATTGATATGTCATGAGAAAATACAGGTCAAGTCCGAATTTGGTCATGGTTCGATGATTTTTGGCAGAGTTATGCCCCTTTTACTTTGAAAATAATATGAAATTTTGAGTTTCCGTTCATTATCTCCACAACAGTACAACACATTCAACTCAAATTTGACATATGGATATGTCATGAGAAAATACAGGTCAAGTTCGAATTTTGTCATGGTTCGATGATTTTTGGCAGAGTAATGCCCCTTTTACTTAAAAATAATATGAAATTTTCAGTTTCCGTTCATTATCTCCCCAACGGTACAACATTTTCAACTCAAATTTGACATATGGATATGTCATGAGAAAATACAGGTTAAGTTTGAATTTGGTCATGGTTCGATGATTTTGGCAGAGTTATGCTCCTTTTACTTTGAAAATATTATGAAATTTTCAGTTTCTGTTTATTATATCCTCAACAGTACAACACATTCAACTCAAATTTGACATATGGATATGTTTTTAGAATGCCCAGGCCCAGTTCTAATTTGTTCATTGTTCAATGATTTTTGGCAGAGTAATGCCCCTTTCACTTTGAAATTAATATGAAATTTACAGTTTCTGTTCATTATCTACCCAACAGTGTTACATATTCAACTCAAATTTGACATATGAATATGTCAAAGGAATGGGCAGGTCAAGTTGGAATTTGGTCATGGTTCGATGATTTTTTTGGCAGAGTTATGTCCCTTTCACTGAAAATAATATAGATACATCTTAGGAATAAGCAGTTTAAGTTTGAATTTGGTCGTGGTTCAATGATTTTCGACAAACTTATCTTTCTTGAATATTGGAAAAATTTTGAACTTTCAGTTTCAGCACTCATACTTTTGTGGAAATATATGTAGCCATTATTTTGGCTACAAATATGAAATATGCTATTTTCAAAAGGTTAAGACTGAATAATTTCAGTGCCTTGAACATTGTATGGAAATGGTTTGTGTTAACATTGAAAAGTTTTAAGGGCTTTGAACTTAAAATGAAAACAATAATTTGTGCAAACAAATTTGGAACTAAATATTATAACATCTGAAATTTTGGCTGCATGCGGGGGCATCCGTGGCATGATGACACATTTCTAGTTTATATTCATATTTGCAGCTCAAGAACATTTAGATGCCATTGCCAGATCTACTACTAATTAATCTACTTTTCATTAATACTACTATTAATTAATCTACTTTTAATTAATAAACTGGAGAAATATTATAAGTGATGTTAATTGTGTTTATATTATAATTAAAGGATGTATAGCCATGCATGTTAATGCATACACATTGGGTTGTTTCCCTTCTCCCTAATTTTCGCGAGGAAGTCACTTCTCCCTAAAATTTCCCCCCAGGATGAGCCCTGATGCATACACAGACAGACCTTTTGATCATGAAAAAGTCATGCACAATGTTTCCCTGATTGGTTAATCACCCTGTCAAATATTCTGATGATGAAATAGACATCTTGTTTTACACTCCATCAGCCAAAGCTTGTGTGAACTTGAGTGACCTTAGGGGAAATCAATTTGCACACCTGTCAGATTATACTGAAACTTACAGCATTTTTATATGCCCGAAAGGGCATATTATGTTATACCCCCTGGCGTCCGTCTGTCTGTCTGTCTGTCTGTCCGTCCGTCCGTCCGTCCGTTAGCAATTTGGTTTCCGGAGCATAACTTAAGTTCCATTTGGCCCACAATGTTCAAACTTCATAGGATGATTGTCCATATTGGGTAGAAGACCCCTATTGATTTTGGGGTCAAAAGGTCAAAGGTCAAGGTCACTATGACCTTAAAACTGAAAACAGTTTCCGGAGCATAACTTAAGTTCCATTCGACCAACAATAATCAAACTTCATAGGATGATTGTCCATATAAGGTAGAAGACCCCTATTGATTTTGGGGTCACAAGGTCAAAGGTCAAGGTCGCTATTACCTTGATACAGAAAACAGTTTCCGGAGCATAACTTAAGTTCCAAATGACCCACAATGTTCAAACTTCATAGGATGATTGTCCATAGTGGGTAAAAGACCCCTATTGATTTTGGGGTCAAAAGGTCAAAGGTCAAGGTCACTATGACCTTAAAACTGAAAACAGTTTCCGGAGCATAACTTAAGTTCCATTTGACCCACAATGTTCAAACTTCATAGGATGATTGTCCATATTGGGCAAAAGACCCCTATTGATTTTGGGGTCACAAGGTCAAAGGTCAAGGTCACTATTACCTTGATACTGAAAACAGTTTCCGGAGCATAACTTAAGTTCCAATTGACCCACAGTGTTCAAACTTCATAGGATGATTGTCCATATTTGGAAGAAAACCCCTATTGATTTTGGGGTCACAAGGTCAAATGTCAAGGTCACTATTACATTGATACTGGAAACAGTTTCCAGAGCATAACTTAAGTTCCATTTGGCCCACAGTGTTCAAACTTCATAGGATGATTGTCCATATTAGGTAGAAGACCCCCATTGATTTTGGGGTCAAAAGGTCAAGGGTCAAGGTCACTATATCCTATAAACTGAAAACAGTTTCTGGAGCATAACTTAAGTTCCATTTGGCCCACAATATTCAAACTTCATAGGATGATTGTCCATATTGGGCAGAAGACTCCTATTGATTTTGGGGTCACTAGGTCAAAGGTCAAGGTCACAATTACCTTAAAACCAAAAACAGTTTCCGGGGCATAAAGTAAGTTCCATTTGGGCCACAATATTCAAACTTCGTAGGATGATTGTCCATATTGGGTAGAAGACCCCTATTGATTTTGGGGTCACAAGGTCAAAGGTCAATGTCACTTTTACCTTAATACTGAAAACAGTTTCTAGAGCATAATTAAAGTTCCAAGTGGCCAACAATATTCAAACTTTTCAGGATGATTGTCCATATAAGGTAGAAGACCCCTATTGATTTTGGGGTCAAAAGGTCAAAGGTTAAGGTCATTATTGATAACTTAAGTATTAATCAACCTACAGCTGTAAAATTTTATAGGATGAACAGCTAATTCCCATGTCTTATAAATGCTTCATCCTTATTAAAAAAAAAAAACACTTTCGGGCATATAATGCTCCGCCTAGCGGTGCTCTTGTTTAAAATAGTAACTCTTTTTTTCAGTTACCGATAATTATTTTAAATATTAAGTAGATTTATGATTTTTTGTTTGCTTTATTGGATGTAGAAATGCGGTAGTAGAAATGTGTATCTGTGTGGGAAAGGGATTAGGTAAGTAGATAACTTGGAAAAATGCTATAGGGAATATGCGTAATTACAGGGGAATGGGTAACCTGTTGCTGTTAGTACCAGTTTTGTCTGGATGACTAAATAATATACGATATAAGTCTGGCACAGATTTTAGATGCGCCCTTGGCCCTTTGCTGATGATTTTCCTGTGCCATTCTCATTTTTTAGCGCCAATGGCGCAGGCAGATCTCTGCCTCAACTTCGTTTAATATTTCACCATTGTAGGCGATTCGCTCTCATGGAAAAGGGACGCTCTAATTGGCTTATGCTGATAATGGGCGGTTACTGATCACAAGCAACAATTGCTTGGGATTTAATGTTTTAAGCAAATGGGGGATGAGTCTTGCACCAGTCCTGTAATCATCGGATATAATATTATTTAATTATTCAACTGAAGAAATTGATAAATTATTCAACTGATGAAATTAAAGTAATCAAACGGTACATAGAAATCACTTACCGTGATATTTTGGATTATAAACTACCAGATTTGCATGCGTCAAACTGAACGCACATATTTTGAAACTGTGCGTCTTTTTCAATTTTTATGCGTATTTTACGCAAGACGCACATCTAGATTAATCACTGGACGTTACAGGCTTGTTATAGTTTATGTCAGTCAAGCCTAACGTCTAATATTTATTGCTCAAAAATGCATAGCATCATAAAAATTTCAAAAAATGTCTATTGTCTTGCCTTTCAAGCTTTATTCAAAAGCTTATCTTCTTTTCTTTCAATTTCATGCTCAATCATTAAACAAAAACTCTCAAACAATGTACTTATCAATTAAAAATAAAATATAAATATCAATCTATTTTTGCCTATCGGCCATACTGTTTAAGTAAAGTGCTTTACAGATTGATTCCAAATTTTATATTCGAACACCCTGAGGGTGCATGGGCAATTATTTCGTTAAAAAATATTCCGTTAGAAACTTCTGACTCATTTAAACGCTTGAATTAGCCAATCAGATTATGGCGGCCATTTGTTTATCGGCTGTACAAGGAATTTAATTAAATGAGAGGATTTAATCATGATTTTTGTGTCGCCTTGAAAAGGCGACATATAGGGGTTACTTTTGTTGGCGGTGGCGTCGGTGGTGTCGGCGTCATTGTCAGCATCCCCTAATGGGCCGGTCTATTTACCCCAAGACACCCCAAGATACCCAAAGACAACCCAAGACTACTCTGGGACAGAAAAATACACATTTTTAGTCCCATGACTACCCCAAGACACTCCAAGAAACTTAAATATATTGTGTATATTGGGAAAGTGTTATTATATACGACAACTGTTATTATATACTGACTTTCGATCTTTCATCACTAAAAAAATTATTCATATGCTCTTTAATATAAAAAAAATATTTTGATTAAAATTCACTTTACTGAAACAACAAGACTATTAGGGGTGTAACAATACAGCAAAAACCGTATTGCAATATATTGCCATTTTGCTGAAGCGTATTGCAATATATTGCAATACGTATTGTCGTGTATATGTTTTGATGTAAAGATGGAGTAACATTCATATATTATTATTATATGTATCAGGGCCTTCCCCAGAAATTTATGTAAGCGCAACTTGGAGGGGGTGGGTGTGGGAGGGGGGAATGTCGAAAATTTTTTGAAACCTTACAAAGGAATGGTGTATTTTGGTGCATATTTAATGTGAGTTAAGTCAAGCAAAAGGTGTTCAGTATTAACATATTTTATTGTCTTTTCAAATAACTTTAACAGAAAAATATATATCGCACAAAAATTTAAAACAATAATATTATAAGCCATTATATCAATTAATTATGACTGCCTAGAGCTGGCTACGCCTTGGTTTCTCCTTGTGCCAAATTTTCACCATGGAGTTGATATCGACCTTTTCTATTGGTGGTCCTAACATCCCAACAGGAAGGATGGGGTTGAGAACAGGTGGGCTCAAAGATGCCCTGTGTGTTGTTTTTACCCTCTTGAGGGTGGAAAATCCACGCTCACAGTCTGTAAAAAAATTCTTTCATGAATCAAAATAAAAACAAAAAAAAAAGAGTAATGTTGTTTACATTGCAAAAAGTTAGTAATTGTTTTATTTTTGTTTTGTTTAATATTTGAATTTTTGTGACTGAATAGTTTGTATGATTTGATTTATATTTGTAGTTATTATTATTCTCACCTGATGTTGATGTTGGGATCAACAGCCCCACAGCAGCAAGTTTGAAGAGGTTGGTGTGGCTGATGTTCAAATTTGTGGTAACCCACTCCATGGCCTTGTCTGCTGCAAGCCCACTGTCAGCAATGGATTCCCTAACTTGGCACCACTCATGAAGGGTCTTGTCAACCACAAGTCCAAAGTGCTCAGCCAGCATCTTTAATACAATTTTTATCTTGTAAAATTTAATGAAGTTACAAACTACTCCCTTTAATTATTAACAATGTTTTCCATAAATGGATTGAACACCTAAAATAATACAATGTCATGTTTAAAAATATATTGTTAAATTACACCTTGTTCATTTCAGCTTAGGAAACTTGATAACAACATATAGGGAAACTTCTGCATTCTCTATGTAAATAAAATTTTAGATTAAGCAAAATTTAATTTACCTTCTCTCTAAAGTTGACAGTCTCTTGTTCAGCAGGAGGCTTGATGTTGAACCCTTTGGCCTGAAGGTCCTCTACCCTCTGCACTGCACTCTGGTAGGCCTCCCATGGCATTGTCTGCAGATACCGCAGAACGGACAGTGTACCAGTCACAAGTGATTTTACAGTAGTGTAAATAGCATCCCCGGCCTGAAGATATCAAACAAACGGATAATTTAAAACTGTTTTCAGCTTTTTAAATGTTTACTTTGTGAAAAAGACAAGTTTAAATGAACTAAATCTATTAAAGAAGGCATTAAACTACAGCAAACATTCAAGAATAAATGTTTAAAAAAAATAGTTTTGCAAGTGCAACATTTTTTATGCAGATATGCCACAAAAAAAAATAGTAGAAAGAGAAAGTAAAATATTAAACACATAGTACTGTGTTAAATGAAAGTTAAATGAAATTTTAACTAACTATTTGAACAAAACAAAATTCATTATGTACCTCCGTCAACCTCTTTAACCCAAGGAAATTCCGATTTCCACTTTAAATCAAAACCAGTGCATCTCTCTTTTCTCATTTTTTTTAGGAGGGGGACTTGTACATCCCATAATTAAAGTGTCTCTACACTCCGTTTGATTTTCACTCGTCTTACTAAAAAAATGCGTAATGCTAATGATGAGTAATCGATCCTGATGCAGGCCTTTTCTTAGCGCCAGACATTTTTAGCTCGACTTTTCTATGAAAAGGGGAGCTATCCTACTCGCCCCGGCGTCGGCGTCGGCGTTAGCGTTGGCGTCACACCTTGGTTAAGTTTTTCGTACCACCCCACTTTATTTCAGAAGTATTACAAGTATGGCTTTGAAACTTACCATACTTGTTCACCATCATAACCTCCATCTACAGACAAGAGTACATAACTCTGTCAAGGTTTTTGACAGAATTATGGCCCTTTTTTGACTTAGAAAGTGTATTGAGCTTGGTTAAGTTTTTTGTACCACCTCACTTTATTTCAAAACCATTGGAGGTATTGCTTTGAAACTGACCATACTTGTTTACCATCACGACCTTCATCAACAGACAAGAGGACATAACTCTGTCAAGGTTTTTGACAGAATTATGCCCCTTTTTGACTTAGAAAATACATTGAATATGGGTAAAATCCACTTATTGCCTTAACCCTTTGAGATATTGCTTTGAAACTTTTAATGCTATTTCACATCATTACCCCCATCTGTACGCAAGAGAAGGTAACTCTGTCAAGGATTTGTTTTAAAAATTAAGGCCTTTTATCGACTTAGAATCTTGGTTAAGTTTTTAGTACCAGTCCACTTTTTGACTGAACTGTTTGAGATATTAATTTGAAAGTTGGAATACTTGTTTACCATCATGGTCCCAAAACATGGGCAGGAGAAGGTAATTCTGTTAAGGATTTTATTTGAATTATGGCCCTTTTTGACTTAGAAACTCAGTTAAGATTTTCATTCTTGTCCACTTGTTGACTTAACCATTTGAGATATTACTTTGGAAGTTGGAGTTCTTATGTGCCATCATGAGACCTATCTGTAAGCAAGAGAAGATAACTCTGTGAAAATGTTTCTTGATTTGTACTTAGAAATTCCTAGTTAAAGTCTTGTGTGCCCTTAACTGTCAAAGTTTTGTTTTATAGGCAAGCACTAAAAAAGTCGAGCGCGCTGTCCTTCTGACAGCTCTTGTTTCAAAAGTTATTATAAGTTACGAAACAGACTCTTTAAAAACTTTTTGAGAATGAAGTTGTCCTCAAGTACTCAAATTTATATATTTATTGAAACAACAAAACAATCTTACCTAAATCACATCGCATTTAGCACCTCCCATGAACCAATAAAACACACGCTTATTGCAACATAAATTATCCATAATCCGTAATCACCGTTGATCTGATAATTGATTTCAATCAAAAGCAATTAATTGCTAAGTTCTTCGAAAACAGATTGCTCTTTAATTACATCAACAAATACTGTGCATTATTAGCGGACACATCCTGTCATAACACAAGATTAATTGATCGATGACGCAATACGACAATGTAGCACGCGCTATATTACGTTGATAAGAAGTTTCTCCTGCAGTCAAAATGCAAGCGCCCCGGCGCTAAGATCAACATGCAAGCCAAATTCCAAGCGCCCCTGTGATCCGTTAACGGAAAAACAAGCGCCCCGGTGCCGAGGCGCTAAATTGGCCTGGGGAAGGCCCTGATGTATATATTTTTAGTAGAAACTTAATAAAAATGTAAGGAATAAATAGAAAGTAAAGTGTCACACAATTTGATAAACAAAACTAGTCGCGTGTGACCTTTCACATCTGGGCCGCTTATGTAAATTATGCGGCCGCTTATTGACTTTTAAGTGTACTAGTTGTTGGATACTTTTATCTTACGTTGGCGCCAACAAAATTCGCCAATTAAAGATTTTATGTGAAATTTGTACAAAATTAGAAGGCAATTAATTGAAAATTATGATTTTTATAAAATACCGGTTTTCAAAAGATCGTACCGCGGTACGAAATTTATTTTTTCATATTGCAATATATCGGTATACCGGTAAACCGTTACACCCTTAAAGACTATGTTAATCTGTTAATCTAATGAAATGAAGGGCAGATGAAATAAAAAAATCAATATTATGAAACAGAATATTATCAATTTAATAATCATGCATCAAAAATGTGTCACTCATAAAATGACATTGTCGCAGAACTAAAACTTGCACTACACCCAAATCCCGCAACATTGCCATTATTTCATTGTTGTAAAATATTTTGCACAGAAAAGAATATATACATTTATAATCTTACATTAAAAAATATATGGAAATAAATGAAGAGAGATTCAATGTGTAAATGTGAAATCGCATAGTTACCTCCCGTAAAAAATGTAAATTTAAGACGAATTTACATGTCAGTAAGTGTCTTGGGGTGTCTTGATGTTGTCTTGGGGTGTCTTGACGTAGTCTTGGGTAGTCTTGGCGTGGTCTTGGGGTAGTCTAGGGGTGTCTTGGGGTGTCTTGGGGGTTGTCTTGGGGTGTCTTGGGGTAAATAGACCGACCGTCCCCTAATGCTTGTTTGGAGCATAACTCAGTCACTTTAAGTCGGATTGACTTCAAACTTGGTATGCATGCTTCTTTCAATAACCCGAAGTGCATTGCACAAGCTATTTTTCTTTAAATTTTACAAAGTACATTTAGTACCCTTGTGCTGAAAACAAATTGTAATTCAATTTTAAAAAAAATTTCAGAAAAAGGAAAGCATCTAGCCTGCCGGAAGCATGTAATCAGTCCCACACAAAAATGAACTGGGCTTTGACAACAGAGCGGACAAAGGACATATTGCAAGATATGGGAGTGGAACTTTTATCTCAGAACAGCACAGATAGCTGTGCAAGCAACACTGAAAATTTTACTCCAGCAACCATTTTGAAAGATGAAAACAGTCAAAATAGCACATCTAGCTTTCATCTTCCACCTGTTCCAGGGGTAAAGTTCTATTTCAAATTTTATTGTAGGAAAAAAGTTCAGTTTAGTATACCCCCAACAAACAAAGTTTAAGGGGATATATAGGAGTCAGTTTGTGGCTTGGTTAGTCCACTACTTCATGGTTTTCTGGCGATAACTAGAGTTTGGAATGAGTTAATGTAATCAGACTTTATATTTTTATGTGGAAACCCTGTTAAGTTTGCTTTTTGACCCTCTGGGTCAAATACTAAAAATAGAAAAATAGTTTTCGGACATTAACAGGAGTTAAGAATGAGTTATTGTAATAAGACTTGGTATATAGCAACCTTATGTGGAAACCCTAGGTGGGATTGCTTTTGGACCCATTGGGGTCAAGGGCACTGTTACCAAAAAAAGAAAATGAGATATTGTAATCAAGTTTACATGAAGGCTTGAGTTGGGATTGCTTTGGACCCCCTTGGGTCAAGGTCACATTGACTAAAATACAAAAATGGTTTCCGCATGATAACTACAGTAAAGCTTTATCAATTTTTCCAAAGTCCGCCGATCCCCGCGATTTTTTCATGGGTGGATTGTCACTGCCACGTCCTTGAGACAGTTGTGACTTTCCTCTCTTCACCCGATCAAGTGAAATTTGCGCTGTGGGATATATTTACCGTGGATCACCAGAGCAACCGATAAGCTTTGAAAGTGAATTGGGTATAACTCCACCATTTCCCTTGGAATTGGGTATTGGCTCCATTTAATTGAGTATTCCGAAACTCGATACCCTATGATTTTAAGATGAATTGGGTATTCAATTATGAATATATGAACTTTATGGTTTCAATATCAATAAAATTTAAACAGTTTTAAAAAGAAAATAGGGGCTACTTACTAAGCCTATCAATTTACTAGAACTTTTCACAACTGTTTTAGTTTTTATGTAAATATGCACATGAGACCTCGAATAATAAAAGGTAAGTTGCTAATGATTACATGTCTACATGTTGTCACTGGAAATCATTTATCATAAGCTGCATCATTTAACAAATACAAGGACAGTAATGTTGTAAATTTACCAGTTTTAACTGATAGATAGTACCGTATAAGTACTTATTTCTGCGGGCTAAATATTCTGCGATTTTTGTTTAAATAATAGGTTTTAAATTTCTGCGTATCTTATTTCTGCGGTGTCATCATTCTCGCATTGATGTTTATTATTTCTGCGTTTTAATTTAGATATTTGTACAAAATTAGCCGATACAAACAGACAACATTTCAAGATTTGTTGATGTAACATGTACATTACTTCCGGTAAACATGCAGACGACTTATAATGTGTGTTCATCGTAATCACCATGTATCAGTATATAAACGTTAATAAACAAAAATCAACAACGTGCAATGACAAGTATTAATTGTAATACTGCATGTGTATAGATCAGACTTCCCGAAAGTTGAAAAAAACTGCCAGACATTCGGTCTGACAAACCATGAAAATCTGTCGGACCGAAACAAAATCTGTCAGACCAAATAAAATTGATCAAAATCAAAGAAAAACTTGTGTTTGTATTTCTAAGACACTTTTTGTTTTTTATTTTTTCGCCGTAAACATCGGCACAATCCGTACAGCGCATTTTCATCTCCTCCCTGTCATACACCAATGAAACATGGTTCTGCTTCCATTTTTCATTAAATTTCGTCTCTGGTCTATTCTTTTCATCCTTTTATTGCTGTTCTGCGCACTCTTCTGACGTAGATTATCGGTTTTCCAAGGTTTGGCACCTTTAGCGACGCCATTTTGTATACATGCGGCTTGGATAAAAGCCGGACAGTCGGACCGATCCGGAATAAAAAATTGTCGGACCTGATCAAAATTTATCGGACATGTCCGTCGGACCGACGTATTTCGGGAAGTCTGATAGATATGAAGTGTGAAAAATAAACAATGGTAAAATCGCACTTAGACACAATGTATTGTACAAATACAAAAGGGTATGTTTATTGCACCTGTCAAACTATAATAGTTTTATTATGCCCCCTCTTCAAAGTGCTGCAACTTCTCAAAGATAAGAGTAAAAGGCTTTTCAGCGTCGGTTACTAGTTACCCTAAGATCGACCTGAGGCCATTTTTAGCCTGTCACATGTCCAAAATTTTCTTGGCGATGAGGGGGACTCCGCCCCCCCCTTCAAACCCCCTGATGTAACATTTTGATGGGGGACGGTGTTAAAAAAAGTGGTCACTTTTTTTAACAACATTTCTCAAACGAAACCAGTATTTGGGTCTAAATAGGGCATTTTTTCACTGTCGGAGGCCTCAAAAAATGGGGGGGGGGAGCAAAAAGCCGTCGAAACACGCTTATATGAGGGAAAAGGTTAAACAAAAAGTACAAGTAAAGTAACTTTTTTTCTAATATTTTATTCATGCATAAAGAAAAATTCTCATCTACAAAAGCTGATAACTGTACATGGTAATGTAATTACACAATACCAATAGTTGACATGCATGTAGACATAGGGATTGGCTTAATTTTCTGCAGTTTTTAGCTCGACTTTTTTTGATAAAAAAAAAGGAGAGGTATTGTGATAGTCGCGGCGCCGTTGCCATTGCCGTCCGCAAACTTGTACCTGGATCATAACTTTTTTAGTTCTTGGTATATTATCTTCATACTTGGCCACAACAACCCTTAGGACAAGACCTTTCAGTAGACCACACTAACCTTGACCATTCATCCGAAAATGACCTTGACCTTCAAGGTCAAAAGTCCAAATTTTGCTTGTTCTTGCTATTATTGGCTGTAACTTTGTTATTTTTGAATGGATTGTCTTCAAACTTGAACATAATAATCTTCAAGGATAGCCCTTAAAAATAACCAGACAGACCTTGACCTTCACTCATAAATGACCTTGACTTTGAAGGTCAAATTATTGAAATTTTCATTTTTTTGGCTATTATTGGCTGTAACTTTGTTATTTTTGAATGGATTGTCTTCAAACTTGAACATAATAATCTTCAAGGATAATCCTTAAAAATAACCAGACAGACCTTGACCTTCACTCATTAATGACCTTGACTTTGAAGGTCAAATTATTGAAATTTTCATTGTTTTGGCTGTAACTGGCTGTAACTTTGCTATTATTGAAGGGATCAACTTCATATTACAAGAGAACATTCTTAAGGACAAGACCTTGTTGTTTATCAAACCCAAATTGACTTGGGCTCTTTAATGACCTTGACATTGAAGGTTAAATTACTGCATTTTCTCAGATTTGTGCATTAAAATTATTGAAATTTTCATTTTTAGCTCGACTTTTTTTTTTTTGAAAAAAAAAGTAGAGGTATTGTTAGAGTCGGGTCGGCGTTGCCGTTCCCGTCCGCAAACTTGTACCTGGATCATAACTTTTTTATTTCTTGGTGTATTGTCTTCATACTTGGCCACAACAACCCTTAGGACAAGACCTTTCAGTAGACCACACTAACCTTGATCTTCATCCATAAATGACCTTGACCTTCAAGGTTAAAAGTCCAATTTTTGCTTGTTCATGCTGTTATTGGCTGTAACTTTGTTATTTTTGAATGGATTGTCTTCAAACTTGAACATAATTATCTTCAGGGATATCCCTTAAAAATAAATAGACAGACCTTGACCTTCACTCATAAATGACCTTGACTTTGAAGGTCAAATTATTGAAATATTCATTTTTTTGGCTATTATTGGCTGTAACTTTGTTATTTTTGAATGGATTGTCTTGAAACTTGAACATAATAATCTTCAAGGATAACTGTTAAAAATATACCGGAAGACCTTGACCTTCACTCATTAATGACATTGTCTTTGAAGGTCAAATTATTGAAATTTTCATTGTTTTGGCGGTAACTGACTGTAACTTTGCTATTAATGAAGGGATCAACTTCATATTATAACAGAACATTGTTGTTTATCAAACCCAAATTTGCTTGGGCTCTTTAATGACCTTGACCTTGAAGGTTAAATTACTGAATTTTCTCAGATTTGTGCATTAAATGACCATAATTATATATTTATTGGTGTGTGTGTGTGTGTGTGTGTATTTATATTTATACATATCTATCATCATCATCATCATCATCATCATCAACAACAACAACAACATATATTGCATGTTTCTATTTATAGAATTGCATGTTTCTATTTATAGATTTGCGTGTTTCTATTTATAGAATTGCATGTTACTATTTATAGAATTGCGTGTTTCTATTTTTAGAATAGCGTGATTCTATTTATAGAATTGCGCGTTTTTATTTTTAGAATTGCGTGTTTTTATTTTTAGAATTGCGTGTTTCTATTTTTAGAAATTGCGTGTTACTATTTTTAGAAATTGCGTGTTTCTATTTTTAGAATTGCGTGTTTCTATTTTTAGAATTGTCTGTTATTATTTATAGAATTGCGTGTTACTATTTATAGAATTGCCTGTTACTATTTATAGAATTGCGTGTTTCTATTTTTAGAATTGCGTGTTACTATTTTTAGAAATTGCGTGTTACTATTTTTAGAAATTGCGTGTTACTATTTTTAGAATTGCGTGTTTCTATTTTTAGAATTGCGTGTTTCTATTTTTAAAAATTGCGTGTTACTATTTATAGAAATTGCGTGTTTCTATTTTTACAATTTTGTGTTTCTATTTTTATAATTGCATGTTACCATTTTTAAAAATTGCGTGTTTCTATTTATAGAATTGTGTGTTTCTTATTATAGAATTGCATGTTACTATTTTTAGAATTGAGTGTTTCTATTTTTGGAATTGCATGTTTCTATTTTTAGAATTGTGTGTTTCTATTTATAGAATTGCGTGTTACTATTTATAGAATTGCATGTTACTATTTATAGAATTGCATATTTCTATTGAATTGCGTGTTTCTATTTTTAAAAATTGCGTGTTACTATTTATAGAAATTGCGTGTTTCTATTATTAGAATTGCGTGTTTATTATTCGCTGTAACTTTGTTATTTTTGAATGGATTGTCTTCAAACTTTATACAGTCAACATTGTATTAAGAGACCACTCAAGGGACTGCCAAAAAGTGGTCTCTTAATAAATTGGTCTCTCAATAGAATTGTGGAAAATTCGAGACTTTTTTATATTAC